CTGACTTTCTCATAATCATAATCTAATCCTTGTTCTAGATATTTACAAAGTTTCTCTTTCATTGGTATTTCCGAATATTCTAGGACTACCGTGATGCGCCCTCTAGCTAACATCTAAATTGCAAAATCAAAAATATAGCTTATTACACTTCTTTCTTTCTTTGTAGTTTAACACAATGGGCTATCTGTACTGTGCCTAACACGGGTATCGAAACCCGGTTTTTAATGTTATAAGCCGTCAGAGTTGCCGCTGAAACACTTAAAGCTAATAATGCTTAAAAACGAATTTTGAATTCGTTTCCTTAAGATTAAGGCCCGGCATGGCCATGTGGTTAAGGTGCTCGACTCGCAATCTAAGGGTCGCGGGTTCGAATCCCTGTCCCATCAAACATGCTCACCCTTTCAGCCGTAGGGGCGTTATAATGTGACGGTCAATTCCACCATTCGTTGGTAAATAACTTGGTGGTGTCTTTCACTGTTAAATTAAGGACGGCTAGCGCAGATAGCCCTTGTGTAGCTTTGCGCAAGTTTTAAAACAAATCACACCGAAAGGTTAAAGCGTTTTAGAACATTACGATAAACATTTTATTATGTTATGTAATTATGAAAAAAACTTAATTTGTCATTCTTGGGCTTTTCTTACAATATGATCCTTCCACAAAGACCTATAAAAATACGTTAAATAAAGGCAGGACAAGAAGACATCGCGTTTGACTGTATCCGAAGAAAATTAGCAACTAAGACCAAAACAACATGTATAAAACCTATCCCAAGAAAAACACCTGTTTCGTTTCAAGTGACTTTGCAAATAAATTGATCATCTAAAAACTCGCTTCACAAGTATAAATCGTCCTCCACCAAAAATAAAATAAAGCATTTTTCTTGAAATTTTTATATGGGCAAAAATTAATTCGGTGTAACTGACTGTGCAGTTCAGCCTGATATCAACAAAAAATCTGTTGGAAACTACATGTCAACAACTGTGTAGTTTAGGCTGATATCAATACACATTTATAGGAAACTACATGTCAACAGCTGTGTAGTGAAGGCTGATATCAATAAACATCTATAGGAAACTACATGTCAACAGCTGGGTAGTGAAGGCTAATATCAATAATTGTGTAAGGGGTACGTGTGCTTGTGGAATAGAGAGACAAAGAACAGTTTAAAGGAGGTAGAGAAGCTACAAAACTTAAATGATACCACACAATATAGTTTCATTTTCCACATACACGAACTTAGTAGACCAAAGTAGACCAAGATCCATAATTTACAACTGTTATGAACTTGTAAGTGTGGATTATTAAAGTTCAGGAAGTGTAAAACAAGTAAGCATGTTCTGGTGAGCACAACTTAGAACACAGCTGACGGTTTAATTTGCTTTCTCTGTGAAGAGAATTAACATTATTGGCATACAATGTTTTCTTTTGGCTACCATGGTTACCACTAGGAAGTAGTCTGGACTAACAGATTGAAAATCATTGTGTACCTTGTAATATTGCACAATTCGTATTTCAGTTGAATCTTCTCGTGTTGTGTTGAAGAAGCCAAACGGCTAGTAATTGAGATATTAAGCAACATTTCTAAAATAAATAAAAAACTAACAATAACGATGTTCGGGGAACACAAATCAATTCACTACGGTAAAAATCATCAGTGCTATTTCAATGTCTCTTGGTAACTCTATTATCTAACTCGTACTCTTCACGAGTGTGCCAGAGTTTTTCGTTATTTGAGGATTTACTGCATTTTTTCTCTTCGCATCCTTGATAGTTTCTGCTTGCTACTACGCATTAAGTAAAACAAAATCTCCCAGGGCCTTTACAATAAAGTCTCTCTGCAGCGCTAATTAATGGACTTCTGGTAAAAAAAAAAAGAAGGGGGGGTATCGAAACGGCACGTGCAGAAACAGCTTTTTAAATTCAGACAACCTTGATTTTTTTAGTCATTAAATCGGTGAGTGTGTTGAAGCCAACAG